TTTTCTGAAGATGTTTTCTAATTAATCTACCAGACGCATTTTCATTTCCTGAAAATGCAAATTTGTTTTCTTGTTTTCATTCTCTGAAAATATTCTCAGAAAACACTCTCCGAAAACGTTACCAGACGGGCCCTAAGTATTAAAAGTAGCAAAAGTTCATGTGGCAGGGAATGGGAAGAGGAATGTAGGCACGCCAACAACAGCAAACATGTTATATTATATGTAGTATATTTTTTTTAAATAAAAGTTGAGAAGGTACCGGGAGAAAGGAATGGGGTGGATGTTGCAGAGAGTGAAACCGTGAAAAAGAAAATGGAGAGGTATTGTTTCATTTTTAATTTTTTTTTAAAGATAATTGTAGTCTCTATACGTTATAATTTTATTCTTTATAAAAAATGATATTCTTTTTTAGATGAGACATTAATAAAAGTGCTTAAAATTATTAAAAAATAAATTATTTATGAAGCTATAATGCAATGTTTTTAAAAGAAAATTCGTCGTGTATAATTGAAGTTTGGATGGAAAGTACTCGTTTTCTGTTTTTCTAGTATTATCTTCTTCTAAATTGTTTTTGAAGCTTTTATACTGTGATCCCTTCGCTCGATAATCCTGGATCTGCCACTGTCGGTGAGGATGACTTGAGGGAAGCTGGTGGCGTTAGAAATGGTGCCGTAAAGATTGATTCCTTTGCCGACGTTGGGGACGCTGTGTAATGCCTCGGACCACCACTCGTAACTCGGGATGCCAAGTCGGGGAATCGGAGGGGCCGAGTTAAGAGTTGGGAGATTTTCTCATCCAATGTGAGGCGCAAGACCAGGTCCTGGACTCTTTGGTTGATGGGGAGGGCGGTTTTGCAGAAAGGGTAGGAGCTGGCTGATTGCTGGGACGAGTCACAGGCATATGGATGCTGAGTTGACCCGGTAGGGTAAAAGAGGAGGGTGGTGAAGAAGAAGAAGATGAAAAGAGGTGTGGGTGGAGTGAGAGCTTGAAGCTTCATGGTGTGTGGTTTGGTTAGATGCGGAAGTGAATGCAGAAAAAAGTGAAAGTTTATAGGGCAGAGGCATGGACAAAGGTCTCTGTCACTGAGGACCGAGCCCACTGCTAGTTTGAGATCATTCTCTAATTAAGATAGTTTGTTATATTACTAAAATTGTTTTTTTTTTTTTAACCTTTTTGTTTGTGAGAACAAATTGTTTCTAAGTGAAAATTACTTTATTATATTGGTTTTCTATTTTTAAATAAGTGATATTAGAGAATAAGATGAATTCAACTATGACCTTGAATGCATGAGTAAATGTTCTTAATTATTTGAGTTACAAGCCCTTAGTTAATTTATATTTGAATTAATCTATATATATAAAGCAAAAGGCAGAGAATGATGAAATATTCAAAATACAAAAAATGCCATTGATTAATGCAAATATTAAGAATAGAAATTATTAATTAAATGAGAATAGTATGGTAAATTCATACTTTTTTATATTAAAAAAATTAAAATTAAAAGAAAAATCCGATAATAGATCCTATTTTTATGGAACACAACTACCCATTATCTTTTTTAATTCTAAAATAAAATAAATTGTTTTTTTTAAAAAAAATCTCACAGGCACGTAAGCGCATGCGGAGAGGCTAGTTTTACTAATTGAAATTTGAGGAAAAAAAAGATAGACACAAAGGGAAAAAGAGGAGAGAAGTGCCACTAGTTGATGGATACAGTCAAACAAAAGAGTATAAAAAAGAAAGCAAAAGATAAATGACTCACCCACTTCAATCAGCCTCACTATCCTTATAAAACTATCACATTTCCTTTTTAGATTATCAATTTTATTAAAACCAGAACCTTCTAATTTCCTGCTGGAAATATAATTAAAATCGTTCAACAATCACTATTTCAATTCCTTGTAAATAAACCCATAAGTTTTGAACCTTTTCTCTTTGCAAAGCCCATCTGTGTGTATGCTGATATAAATAGACATAATATTAAAACCCATCATGTCAACGTAGGGATGGCAACGAGCCAGTTGGGGTTGGGGTATGACAATACCATCCCAACGTGCACTGGTGGTGTATGATAATACTGCTATCCTTTTTTATAATAAAATTTGAGTAGCAGTAACGAAGCCAGGATTTCATGTGTGTGGGGGCGCCTTACAAATTATAAAGAATCAAAAATTCGAACTCACAATACATACAAAAAATAGTGTATATATATATCACATATGTCAAGAATTATATTGCTTATTGATTGCAATCATAATTGTTTTCGACAAAGGGATAGACAAATACATTCTAAGCAAGAAAAATTGCAAGAGATAGACAAAGAGTAGCGATTTAGCAAATATCTTTAAAGTTTTTTCCCCCATTAAACCCAATAGAAAGAAAAAAAAAATCAAAATTTCCCAAATTAAAAACAAACTTAGGCCCCTTCATGCATTCATATCATACATGAAAATATATTGACTAAGTATGAAAAATGATTTTTTGGAATAATCATTTTCTCAAGATAATTTTTGGCGACTTTTATTCCTTACACATCCAATAAGAAAACTTGATTTTATGGGATTTTAGTATGAAGTATATACTGACTTAATGAGCCATCATTTTTAGCCTAAATCGTATTTTACACTAAAATCGATTTTTCATATTTTGATTTGGTGGGAATTTGATTTTCTAGTATTTTTATTTGAATTCAAATGGAGGGTACTTCCTTATTTACATTGTAAACTTAAGTAAATGGAGTAATATAAAAATAAATTAAAGTCAAAGGACAAAGACATTTACTTAAATATTGAAAATGGAAATAAGGTAATCTGTACACCTGCAGTGCACCACCACCAGTTGAGCAATAGCGCAATTTGAACTACCTCCTTGTGCCTTAATAAGTTCACCACAACACATGTGGATGCATATCAAAACGTAAAGTATTTGAAATAATATACATATATAAATACATAACAGTATATTACTTTTCAAATATAAAAAAACTTGAGTGGGGGCCCGGGACCACACTGGTCCTAGTGTGGCTCCGCCCTTGCCCCCGTCCCCCTAGTAGCACTG